TGTCTAAACATATGCAATTTGGGAGGAAAGTCCTCCAAGGCCGACAACGACTCAGCTAACGTTGTCAACAATGTTCAAGTAGTTGATCACTCAGAACAGATTGATAAACTATACAACGTCCTGATCATTATTGCTGTCCTTTTGCTACTTAATGTGGCTATGAATGCATATGTAATGCACAAGCGCAATTTGAGGAAGAGATACACAGTGAACAATAGTGATATCGAACGCGCTCTGGGCTTAAATACCATTTCGCAGCAATAAGGAGAAATCAAAAAGAAAAAAAAAATAAACAATTATACCATAACATCAACAAAACCATGGGAGGAACGAACTCCAAGGACATAGATCCTAATTGCCAAATACAAATAATAGACCACAATCAACAAATCGCGGAAGTGTTCTATATTCTCGTTTTTATTGCCGTGCTTCATTTAATCCGAATCGCGATGAACATCCAAGCATTGCGAAAAGTACAACACAATCATCCGTTTGCAGTATAAGTGTGCCGAGAAGATAAGTGCATGAAACAGTAAACCGCCGACGGCGCCAAAGTATAATCCCATTGACACAACGGAATCGGAGTGGAGTGAAGACCCGTCTACCCGCGACAGTCGTGTGCCACGAAAAACGCTTGATCGGCGAAATTATATATTATTATTGTTGTGCGAACTTAATCTATGTATAACTTAGTGTAATAAGTGAAGTATAACCACATATTAATACCCCATAAGAGTGTAGACGTGCACAAATATATGTTTAACAATTCTTCAAGGTTACAGCCTATACAACAGTAAGGAGAGCTCTCTTCGCTGGAGATATTAGAGGGTGAGTTTTACGGAACCCAAGTTCCACTCTCTATATATTATTTCTTATTTATATATATATTTGTGCATATAAAGAATACATAATGTTAACTACGAAAGTTATTGCTAAAACTTATGAGAAGGATTCAGATTTCAATAGTCGATTTGAATATATGTTAATGAAATGTTCACTTCCAATATCTGTTAGTGAATTCGAACAAAAATATATGGATTTATACAATCTAGATTTTTCTCCGATTCACCATTGTACTAACACTCAGAAAGCGATTGTTATATCTACTCTTCCGTTTACCAAGGTATATTCTGTCATTGAAGAAAATCAATTTCTCGGGAGAATTATGAAGTTTGTAATTGCTCGTAAATAATAAGTTCCGGGAATCAAATCTTTACTTTCATAGATTATCTTAAAGAATATTATCTTAATAAGTAGTGTAGCACCGTACTACGGAATATAAAATTATTTTTAAATTTTACTATTAAGTACTCTTAAATACTTATACTTTTAAAATTATACTTAAAATATTAAGTGCCTCTAATTAACCTATATTTATAATAATATTAAGCATTTATATAATAAGTGCACGTTAATAAAATTTAGTTCTAACTGAGTAAGGTAACTACATTTAATGAGTTCTAATTATTAGCATACATTTTTATTATTGAACACTATTTTGTTAATTTACTTTATTACCTCTTAATTAATTTTAACTACTTTTAATATCCATGTTAATCATATGTATAGGTAATATTTCGATAATAGTGTAAACTCTGTATTCCGTTTTTTTTTTCTATTAAATAAAATTTTCTTTTTCAGCGGGAGGTATCCGCTCTTATATTTGCATGTTCAAATATAAGCAGCCCACAGAGCGACCTTTTTGTCGTGAATAGTCTGCAAATCTTTTTGCTGACGTGCGCGCTTTTACAAGCGATCAATTCGATACCTTCCGTAAAAAAATACATTGTCATTAATTGGTAATGCCAGTGTCATAAACAAAGATTCTTAGCCTATACTTTATGATTTATTTCAATATATATTTATTAAAATTTATCGTGTGAGGAAAGTCTCAACATGAGTTGCTAGGTTCACGTTTAAAAGGGGGTGCTGATTCCACAAGTGAAGTAGGTCTAGAATAATGACGACGACTTCTTGACAGACGACATTAACATTAGGGGATCAGATTGCAAGACTAGCACTGATCCAACGGCACACGATTTGTGAAAGGGGAGGGTAACATCCACAAGCTGCCGATCGTATTTCGATTAAGTGCTCGAGTTAGCTATTCGGGAAACTTACGGGCAGCTAAGACAGATGACAGACGAAACAGACGATCTATATTATTTTTCCCAGGCACTTTTAATAATTCTTTCTGGTTATGCGGGAGAGGTGAGATGCTTACCAAGAACCCACCCCATCCGTCGAGCTCAGCCGGAAAAATGGTGCCTGAACATCGGACTCATCTCCCTCGGCCCATGTCCTCAGGACAGGGCCCTAATACGCCTACGTAACAAACGCTATAGTCGGGTGGGTGTCCCGACTATCTAACACCAGTCACTCTGCTAAAAGGAGTGCAAGGAAGATGGATATATAAAATTTTTTGATTGCGTATAACTTTTTAATGAATGATCCGATTTGAAATACATTTTGATAGGTATAAATATACACAGCAAAACTGAATTTATACTTCTCGGAACTCTTTTAAGGTGTGGGCGCCAGACACATTTTAAAATCGTTAGTACGCGATTGTGGGCGTTAGAGGGGGCGGGGCGCTCGGCTGAAATAAACTTGCGCTGCGTTGGAAGCCCACAGACAGACGGACATGGCTAAATCGACTCGGCTAGTGACCCTGATCAAGAATATATATACTTTATAGGGTCGGAAACGCTCCCTTCTCCCTGTTACATACCTTTGCACGAATACAATATACCCTTTTACTCTACGAGTAACGGGTATAACTAATATTATTTAAAAGTGTACTATGTACTATTATAAAGTTCCAAAGTTGCTATAAATTACCAAAACAGCAAAAATTTGGGTTTGCTTACAAATTTGCCAGATTAATATTGGCTAGACAGAGGCGTAGTAAGAGCGGAGTGTGGGATACGGGGGGTTAAAAAAAAAAAAATGTAACAGCTAGAAGGAAGCATTTCCGACCCTATAAAGTATATATATTCTTGATCAGGGTCACTAGCCGAGTCGATATAGCCATGTCCGTCTGTCCGTCAGTCTGTCTGTCCGTATGGACGCTGAGATCTCGGAAAGAATAAAAGCTAAAAGATTGACATTTTGCATGCAGATTCTAGAAGTTCCTACGCAGCGCAAGTTTGTTTCAAAAGGGTGCCACGCCCCCTCTAACGCCCAATCGCTTATACACGATTTTAAAAATTTCAATATTTGGGAAAAGTAAAAATGCCGTTTTTTTGTGTTTATCAATACCTATCGAAATGTAGAAGAAATTTTTTAAACCGGACCATTCGTTAAAAAGTTACGGCGGATCAAAATTTGTATCTCCATCTCCTTCGCACTCCCTTTAGCTGAGTAACGGGTATCTGATAATCAGGGCACCTTACTATAGCGTTCTCTCTTGTTTAACTATTATCTTAATCTATTTCATGTATTATTCTACAAAAGGATTGGGAGTACGCAATTTTACGACAGTTTTCCCGAGTTGAAACCCCCCTTTGTTAATGTTGAGCTGAGCACATGCTCTTCCGTCAGCTGTTATTTGATGGTGGATGGAGTTTGGGGGGAGCACGAGCTTCACATTCGTCAAAAATTTCTACCGTTTCAAACGGATGGACTCTATGGGAGGAGGCTATTAGACGAACAGTTTTCGTTCTTCATGAATTCCGGGAGAACGACCATTCCGATTTAGGTAAAACTTATAGAAAAAATGCAGTTTGGTATAACGAAGAAATCCCTACCAATTTCCACGTGGGACAATAACTTCTTGCTACTTATTTAGTTCTAAGGAAGAAGAATCGCTTTTTTGAAATCCCGTTTTACCAGTGTAATTAGTCGACCCACTAGACCATCGAAAACATACCTTTGGCAACGAACATTTTCTATGAAAAATTGCCGTTTGTAATATTTTTGTGGGTGCATTAAAGAGGTCCAAAAAGATAAAACCGTAAAGAGTTACATGTGCCCACACGCTTCGAAGTCTTTTTGGCTACGTAATCTTTATAAAGGAAGATGCTGAAACCAGAGCTTGCAAATAACTGTCAACCGATGTTTCTAAGGCACAAACTCTCTCTCTGAGCGGAACCCTTTTTTCGTTTTGCTTGTCGGTTTCGGTCCGACCTTTCGGCTCAACCAAACAAAGCAATCGGTCTTTCAATAACCACTCGGTGAGACCCTTTTAAGTTAATAGTCACCTAAAAGGGTTTCTATAAGACTACTGTTAAATAAAAGTCAAAAAGATAAGTTTTCTCTAGAAAGGGAAAAGTATAGGCCTGCTGTGAGATGTGCATAAATGTAACATAGGAAATCAAGATAATTCTAAAATTGCATTGTACATATATATAATATAAAACTAACTATATCCGGAGCGACTTCGTTCGCTTAAAATTAGTTTGGAGTTAGGAAATTTGGTTTTATTTGTTGTTTTTAAATTTGATGTTTTGAATGAAACGAAAACATTTGTACACACACGAAAAGATTGACATCCCGTGCTAAAGTAGCGAAGTAACTTATCCGATTCCACATTTGATTGATAATTATTAATTTTAAACTTTTCCAATTTCGCATTGGCTGAAAGGAAATGAATAATTTTATTTGTATTTAAGCACATTATCGAATTTCAAGTAGAAACTTAAACACACATTGTGTCTATGTATTGTATTGTACATGTATTGTACAAATCAGAACTTATCCAAATATACATAGGTATTTGGGCAAAAGTTCGAATCTTAAGATATTTAACTTGGAAACCTTTTGGCTTTGTTTACAGAATTTGTAGTAATTTTTTATCTTCTTCCATGGTGGAAACCAGAAACCATGGGCTCAGGGAGATGGCGACCCCCTGTTCTACCTACCGCCTTACCCGGGTACCGCGGATCTCTGCCCGGGCGGACCTTTCCCCTTCTCCGCAGCTCGTGGGACCAAATATGGAATCATCAAATAAAAATAACAAAAAATCAGAGACGGGTACTCTCAACAAATCCAACACTGCAATGACGAACGTTGGCTCCGTTGCAAACACCAGTAAGGCTCAGAAAGGGCCTCATCCCAAACAAGGGGTGATGGGAGACAGAAAGACTGTCGCAAACGCCTCCGCTATGCGCGCATCTGCGCCTAAACCAGCGGTAGACGCAGCAAAGTCGCTCGTGTCGACCGCTGGTGTTCAGAAATTCACATACGCAGAGAGACGGACGGCCGCCCAAACCCTGCGTTCACATGCCAGAAGCAAAGTCGCCACGCCTTCGCCCGAATGGCTGAAGAAGGTTGAGTGGGCCAGGACGGTGTTCCCAAACTATGGGCAAGGAAACACCCAACAGGAAGGTGCCCAGGTGAAGAGGCAACGCTCCGTAGAGCTGCCTGGTCCGTCGGCGAAGAGATCGAAGATCCAGCCGTCGGTCTCCTTTGCCGAGATCACTAAAGATCGGGTCCTTCTGGGACTCATTGACAGGGGAAATCCGGAGAACAGGATCCCCAAAAACAAATGGAAGGCGGTTGAGTCCCAGCTGTCTCTCATATGCCTGCGTATGGTGCGCAAGAAGCCCGGTTCATCGCCTTGCTGCATGGACGCGGACTGGTACCAGGGCAGTGTAAAGGTGGTTGCCTGCGACAATCAGCGATCAGCTGATCTATACAAGCAGGCGACAGCGCAGCTAGGTGAAGTCTACGATGGGGCGAACATAGTCGCACTAGATTGGTGTGACGTCCCCAGTAGACCCCAAACTAGAATTTGGCTCCCAGCAGCTATCAAATCACCGGAGGATATCCTCTATATGTTGCAAGAGTGCAACCCACATCTCCCCACAAAAGACTGGAAAGTCGTAAAGGTGGAGGAGCATGCAGGTGATGTAAATCAGGCGATCGTGGTGCTAAACAAGGAGTCGGTCGCTCCCATAGAGGCTGCTCGGGGAGTGCTCAATTATGGCTTCAGCGCCATACACATTAAGATATACAAAGGGGACTCCAGTTCCAAGGGAAGCCCTGCCGGCAACCCAGCTGAGCAGGTACTTGCGGAGGAAGTGGAGGCCCCTGGGATGCCGGAGGACGGCTACTCAACCGACTCATCGCTGAGCAGAGAGTTGCGAGCGCTGGGACCGGCAATCGAAGAAGTGGACCTGAGCGATTCGGAGGCCGACGTTACTGTGGTGGAGGTTGCAGCTGGGGATGTCGCTAAGACTCCTGCAGATCAACCTACACCACAGTAAAGCAGCGTCCGCTGCCCTATTGCTTCGCCTTGCCAAAGGCGAAGCCGACGTGGTCTTAGTTCAGGAACCTTGGATAGCAGGAGGCAAGGTTGCTGGGCTAGGAACAAAAGACTACAAGCTTATGCTTGACCCCAAACAAGGTAAAATTCGAACCTGTATTTTAGCCAAACGGCATCTTAGTACATTTCTGCTTCGCAATTACAGCAACGGAGACAACACGGCAATAAGCCTGGAGCTGCAAAACGGCTCCATAAGGATGCTATCGGCCTACATGGCTTTTGAAAAGGTAGAACCCCCAGACGCGCTAGTCAGAGGACTGGTACAAGAATGTGAAGAGCTTAATAAAGGTTTGGTGATAGGATGCGATGCTAATGCCCACCATACCCAGTGGGGCTGCCCTATCAACAACGACAGAGGTGAGTCTTTATTTGATTTCATTCTAAATTCGAACTTATTTCTTTGTAACAGGGGCAATACCCCTACTTTCATAACAAAAACGTGCCAAACGATCATAGATCTAACCCTGGCATCAGATTCACTCGTAAGCACAGTCACAAACTGGGCTGTCTCCAACGAGCACTCATTCTCAGATCACAGGTTTATAGAGACAACTTTGTCTCTAGTGTCACCTGCGCCGGTCAGCTTTGCCAACCCCAGGCGGGCAAACTGGAAAAAATACAAAGAAATTCTATCGAGCTTCCTCCCCAGGGAGCCACCAGACAGCACTCTTTGCACTCAGGAGCTAGATAATATAGTAAACAAATTCACAGAAGCATGCAACGCAGCATTCACAGCTGCATGCCCTTTAAGAAAAGCAAGAGGAAAGAAAAAACCTCCATGGTGGACCCAGCAATTATCAATCCTCAGAGCCAAATGCAGAAGCCTGTTCAACAGAGCGAAATCTACAAATGAGGACATATACTGGCAAAGCTACAAAGAGGAACTAGCCACATACAAAAAGGCCATCAGAAAAGAGAAGAGAACTGCGTGGCAGAACTTCTGCTCGGATATTGAAAAGACAACGGATGCCGCAAGGCTCAGAAAGATACTTTCTAAGACAGCCGTATCGTTGGGCTATCTCCAAAAGGCTGACGGATCATGGTCGGACTCTAGTGAAGAATCCCTAAACCTACTCCTAGACGCTCACTTCCCAGGGAGCCTGCAAACAGGACATCCCCCAGGAAGACACACTGGAGAAGAAATAAACTTAAACCTCCTACTATCAGACCGTAATATAAACTGGTCCATTCATAGTTTTAAACCGTACAAATCGCCGGGACCGGACAACATAACACCAGCACAAATTCAGCAAGCAGGACAGCTAGCTACAAACTGGCTGAGAAAAATTTTCCAGATCATTCTTGCAGTAGGAGAACTACCTACAGCGTGGCGGGAAACGAAAGTCGTTTTCATCCCTAAAGCAGGGAAGGCCACCCATACTACAGCGAAGGATTTTAGACCGATAAGTCTGACATCATTCCTGCTAAAAATCTTAGAAAGACTGATTGGTCTACACATCAGAGACATCATTGACCCGACGCAGATATCAAAGGCGCAACACGCATACACCAAAGGTAAATCGACCGAATCGGCGCTACACTTGGTAGTAAGCAACATCGAGAAATCACTCAGTATACAAGAATACACCTTGATCGCCTTCCTTGACATAGAAGGAGCTTTCAATAACGTGCTTCCCACGGCAATAACAGAATCCCTCACTGAACTAGGGGTTGAGCCACCGCTGGTGGGGCTGATCCACAAATTGCTGATAAGCAGACTGGTCACGGCCACACTAGGGACCTCTACCCAGACTAGACTAGTGAGCAGAGGCACTCCGCAAGGAGGTGTACTTTCACCCCTCCTATGGAATATCGCGGTAAATAAACTACTGCGGATTCTCGAAGGAGGAGGCTGTAAGATAGTGGCATACGCAGACGATGTCGCTATCATTTTTAATGGTAAGTATCCACAAACGCTATGCGATCTTATGACCGCAAAACTAAAGATACTATCGGAATGGACTACAAAAAACGGCTTTGGGGTAAATCCCTCAAAAACGGAACTAGTCCTTTTCACAAATAGATACAAAATCCCAAAACTCAACCCACCCACTTTAAACAACTGTAATCTCTCTTTTAGCGATCACGCAAGATACTTGGGGTTAGTATTAGATAAGCGTCTTAAATGGGGCTTAAACAACCAAGAGAGAACCAAGAAAGCGACCATTGCACTTTACTCTTGTAAAAAAGCAATCGGGCTTAGATGGGGTATGTCCCCTAAAATCGTCAATTGGATATACACAGCGGTAGTCAAGCCAATCCTACTATATGGAGTGACTCTGTGGTGGACCGCTCTACACAAACAATGTATCCTAACTCCCCTTAACAAAGTACAGCGCATGGCGGCTTTGTGTATTAGTGGAGCCCTTCGAACTAACCCAAACGAAGCGCTGAATGCGATCTTGAACCTCCAGAGCATGGACTTATCAGGCATGGAAAGGGCGAAATCGGCAGCCATTCGACTAAGGGATACGGGACAATGGAAATCCCAACTGTATGGTCACGCTAAGATTCTTCAGCATGACAATTTGATCCCGCCAAAAACGGATCTATGTAAAACCCGTGAATACAGACACACGCCCTTCGAAGCTCTGATCCCAGGTAGGGAAGCATGGGATCGGGGCCGACCGGGCTCAATAGACGCAATCTGTATATATACAGACGGCTCCAAACTCGACGGACACGTAGGTGGAGGCATATACTCCGAGCAATTAGAGATCAGGCAGTCATTCAGACTTCCTGACCACTGCAGTGTCTTCCAAGCGGAAGTGTATGCTATAATGGAAGCACTCGTCTGTTTAAGGGGCTTAAACACCCAGAACAGGCACATAAACATATATAGTGATAGCCAAGCGGCTATTAAATCAATATATTCGACGAATACAAACTCCCGAACAATAGCAGACTGTCGCAAATCTCTTCACGAGATGGCTAGTCAGTTTACTGTCTGCCTTATATGGGTTCCGGGCAGTGTTGGGAAAGGTACTGTGTTTTTGTACCTAGGTAAGGTAAAAGGTATTGGGCAAAAATAAATACCTAGGTAAGGTAAAGGTACTTCAATTTCCCAGTACCTAGGTAAAGGTAAAAGGTAAATATATTGTTTTTTTATTTTTTATAAAAGCTGAGCTCAAGGAACCGAAAAAACGATTTTTAATTTTCCTTACAAAGTTCCATTTTTGTCTTAGCTTTCTTAGCTTTCAAGGCCTCGTAGTCCGTGTAACTGCTTGGATGAACCCTCTAAAGTTGTTGAAATTAAATCCAATTATTTAAAAATATAAGCTTAAATAATTTTGTGTATATATTTTTAAAACACGCGGCATGAATAATTGTATGCACGTATCACTTCATTAATATATTTATGAAACCCTCATGTACATATTTGGCGCGCAAAAATTCCGTATGTAGAAACATTGACTATATGGGCCGTTCTTTTACAAACCGAACAGATTTGGCCAAAAAAAATTTCACATTTTTGATTTGCCTGAAACTTTTTTTACACGTACTATTCGGAAAATAAGTAAACACGTGTATCAGGATTTGACCGAAAAAAAATTATTTTCCTAGTTAGAATTTTTTTAAGTGTGCCAAAAATTGTCAAATTTGAAAAAGTACCCTCTCATTGAAAATCTGTATCTCCGGTTATATGAATCCAATTGACTTCATGTCTTTTGCATTAATTCCTCTAAAACCTCTCCTTTCAAAATAAAATTTCTTAAAAAATTTTTTTTTAATTTCTTAAAAATAAAAACAAAATAAGATTTAATAAAATTTTTTAACTATTGCCCCCACAAAAAAAAAAAATTTTTTTTTTTTAACACTTGCGTCATATTGTTAGTTACAATCGGTTTTTGTAAAAAGTTGGAGCCACTTTTAGTTTTTAAAATATCGAATTTGTTTTAGCAAGGCCTCGGCTTTTTTCTATGAAAAAACGTCGCAGCAAGTAGATCTACTCTCTCACTCTTATCGGATCCTAATGGAATTTATGTTTTTTCATTGTTTACTAGTCCTTTAACAATTGTTAATGATTAAAAGTTAAGTTTTAAGTTTTTTGACAATTTCTGAATGACAAAAAGTAAAAAGTCATTTTTTAATCAATTAAAAACTTACAACTATTTATTTAACCGTCTATTTAATAAACAATAATTTTAAATTTATTTTATTTTTTTTTTTTTTTATATTATGTAATTTATTAAACATTTTTAAATATTTATTTTTAAATTTAAAAAAAAATTAATAAAATTTTATAATTTTTATTTTTATTAAATAAATTTTTTTAAAAACTAAAACTAAAAAAAATTTAAAAATGGGAGTAAACATTTACATTTCTCTGTGTATGTTCAGTGAACGTATTTTAGTTTCTTAGTTCTAGAGGTTGCCTTGACTTTTTTAAAATTTGACAACATTTAGGAGTAGATAATGAAATAAAAAAAACGGTTTTATTAGTATAATAAATCCAATAAAAAATATTCTCATGAAATCGCTTTAAAGCGAAATTAAAGCATACAATGAACAATAGATACAATGAATAGTTAAAATTACTTCCATTCAAGATTTAATCCTCAGAATTGTTTTTCCATCAGAAAAATCTCTACAATTTTGGGATTTTCAACTTTGGCGTCGAATTCCAAAGACATGGGCAATGGTTCACAATGGGGACTATTTTTTAGGAATGCCTTGATGTATTGAGAGTAGGTCCTACCGAAAATAATAAAGGTTGGTCCAATTATATAGGCCACGTAATTCAAAATGTCGGCAAACATCGGTTTCTTGTATTCTTAGCTATACCGCGGAACCTGTAGGTGATGGAAAATAATTTTGTATGGGACTTTTACTCAGGAGCACCCAAATATCATGGAAAACTTGAAATGGTTCGTAGAAATTTCACAAAGTTTAATTTTGTGTTCCTGTGTTTTCTGTCGATTTATCATCGAATTTTATTGTATTATTAACACACAACACGCACTTGCCGTCCGGGTTAAAAAATTTGCCATTTAATATTGTTGGCAACACTTTCTCGTTTAAATTTTCTTTTTCGGCCATGTCTGTCGCGCAAAGTCAAATTGTTTTGTGCATTTGAGAAAATTGAAATGCAAAGGTAACTTTACAAAACAAACATGAGAACGGCTAATTTCCAATGACTTTTAATGCTGCGTTCCGACTATTACAATTTCGAAACGAAATGATACAATGACGTGTAGATGTGGTGGATTTAGCTTATTTCAGTGTCGCAGTCAGATGTGGCTGGTTTAAATCAGAGCAATGTTTAATACCTATGTAAGTACCTTAATAATTCCAAAGGTATATACAAATTTGTAGCTAGGTAAGGTAAAAGGTACCCAGTTATTTTTATACCTAGGTAAGGTAAAAGGTACCACTAAATTGTACCTAGGTACGTACCTAGGTAAAAGTATCTAGGTATGTCCCAACACTGGTTCCGGGTCACCGGGATATCGTAGGCAACTGTATAGCAGACGAGCTAGCCAGGCAAGGCACCACCATACCTCTCCTTCCAGGAAAGGAGAATGTTGGCATGCCTTTGGCTACCTGTAAGCTAATTATTAAAAACCATTTCTGCAAATTAGCCAACACCAATTGGCAAAACACACCGCAGTGCCGAATCTCTCACCAGACATGGCCTGCAATAAACAATAAGAAAACATCAGAACTACTGATTTCAGCCGCACAGAGTGTGGCATGCTAATTCGAGTACTGACAGGCCACTGGCTCGTTGGCGCACACGCCGGCAGGCTAAAAGCCCCTAAAAATGACTTCTGTAGAAGCTGCAGGGATGAGGAAGAAGAGGAAAAGGTGGAACACCTACTCTGTTCATGCCTAGTCCTATGCAGGCTTAGACTGAAACACTTAGGATATCCTTTCATAAATGACCTGACCGAAATTTCGCAGATTAATCTGAAGAGTCTAAGCTCTTTTATTAAATCCTCCGGATGGGGGACTTGCTGATCGACCAACCTACAGGCTGACCCTTAACGGATAGGGGACCCAAAAATAGAGATCATACGGTACCACAATGGACCCACAGAGGTCTAAGTGTGCCAGGCTATAGTCTAGCAGCCGTCCTAACCTAACCTAACCTAACCTATGGTGGAAATTAAATAAGGCTCTTACTTCTGCTACAAAATGAAAAATATTTTTTGAAAAATAAAACCTAAGCATTTGATCTACAGGACTGACTATTGATTGAAAATCATATTGATCGAAACAGCAGTTAAAGTTTTTAAAATTCAAAACAAATTTTAACTTAAATTGTCCTTTTTCCCTCCCCCTTCCGCACAGCACTACCCCACCCCATCGACAGTTTTCTTGGCTGCTCCTCTCTCGGCCGTCGCTCTCTTGCCATCCGCTCTCTGGGTTTCGCTCTCTCGGCAGGCTCCCAAAAAATGCAACGCAATAACTTAGGAAATATAAATAAATTCGTTAAAAATACTTTAAAACAAGAAAGGAAGCTAGCTTCGGCCAGCCGAAGCTTATATACCCTTGCAGATCATTCCTATTAATTAACAAATCGCAAAAATGTTCAATTTTCTAATATTTCTCATTAATTTTCCGATCGTTCATATGGCAGCTATATGATATAGTCGTCCGATTTTGATCAAATTAAAATTGAAATTCGGAAATATTTAAAAAGAGTCATATCCTCGAGAAGAAGATAATACAATAAAAACCAAAGAAGCTAGAATTTATTTCCTATTACTTTTCCATTAATTTTCCGATCGTTCCTATGGCAGCTATATGATATAGTAGTCCGATTTTTTAAACAATTAATTCGAAATTCAGAAATATTTAAAAAATAACATCCCCAAAAGTAGAAGGTTATATTTCAAAAAACATCAGAGCTATAATTTTTTCCCGTTTTTTTTCGATCCTTCCTATGGGAGCTATAAGATATAGTTGTCCGATCCGGTCGGTTTCGACATATATACTACCTGCAATAGAAATACGACTTTTACGAAAGTTTCATCCCGATAGCTTTAAAACTGAGAGACTAGTTTGCGTAGAAACGGACAGACGGACAGACGGACGGACAGACGGACAGACGGACATGGCTAGATCGACTCGTCTTGTGATGCTGATCAAGAATGGGGTCGGAAACGTCACCTTCACTGCGTTGCAAACTTCTGACTGAAATCATAATACCCTCTGCAAGGGTATAAAAATGTTAAAAATTTAAAAAATTAAACTTAAGCATTTCGATCGGAGCAGCGGTTTAGATTTTTTAAATCGAAAAGTTAATTTTAAATGTAGCCCCCAAATTATGGGGGATATCGACATTTTTTTTTAGATTTCTAATTAGGCCCTTTCAAGACCTAAAATTCTGCAAAATCAAAATTTCGAAATTCCAACCACCTTAGAAGTTAAGCTTAAGTAAATCTAATGATTTTTTTCTCTAAATATGGATATTGGAGCTGTATGGGGCCACTGGGGGGACATGTCGGACCTTAGTGGGCGCCTACGCCCCCAATGGAATACTCTGAAAAAATTTGGCTGCTCTAGCTCTTATGGTTTAGGCTGTGGTCGTATCCCCCTAAAAATCGGACTTTCATTTTATAATCTTTGGAGATATAAAATTGTATTCTGAATTTAGGTTAGCTGTTATTTTGTTTGTTTGCAAATATATTTATTGACTATATAAGGAACTATCTTTAATAAGAAATGCCATAAAGAAACGAATTACCATTCAAATGAGCTATAAAAGGCAGATCGGTTCAAATTAACTACCATAAGTCTTAAGGTAAAAAAGGTCTCAAAGTATTCCAACCAAGCGTATTCCTACAAAATGGTTCGCGCGTTTTTTCAAATCCTTCGAAATATTTTGAATAAAACCAAATAATGTTGTAAAAATATTCTGGTAATAGTCTAGAAGAGGGGCCTGTGCCCCTCTTATCAGAAGATTATCGGCGGAAATGCATGGTTCTCTTGTAATTGCATTTCAAAGTTGCGTGTTTCTCTATAAAAACAAAGTAGCATTTTCTAGGGTTTTATGGTGTTTTGTGACATTTTGCTATAAAAAACATATGGGCTCTCCGTTTGCTGTCAAAATAATAGGCGTTCGAAAAAACTCGACAAAAATGTGAAATTCTTTTTATAGCAAACCAGACCCAACAACAGTGAATTAAATATCCTCGATGGACCGTGATTTCTTAAGAGCTGGAGCGACCATGGATGACCAACATATACAATTTTAGGTAATACTATATATTAGCGGACTCACCCCCGAAATTCGCGAAAAAATTATTCTCGATGGACCGCGATTTCTTAAGAATTTACGTGCAAAAAGAACTTGGCGGTCGGTCATGGTTGTCTTGTAATTGAATTTCAAAGTTCCCGGGTTTGCTATAAAAAACAAGGGTGCTTTTTTCATATTTTCAATCAAAGTTATTACGTTTTAATGAGTTCCTATAAAATTAATATATTGTTTAAATTAGTTCCTATAAAACTATTTAATTGTTTAAATGAGTTCCTATAAAAAAAATGTAGAATTTTTTTAATTTAAATAGTTTTAATGAACACTTTTCCGCACCACCATTGAGGTAAAGTTCTAGGTTTTTTCTTTAATAACCTTTTATGACCTAGAAATCTCTCTGCTGAAGTATTCCCGAATAGGAAGTATTTGAAAATAGTGCATTTAAAAATGCACTAATACTACAACTATGCACTAGTACTATAATACTATATATTAGCGGACTCACCCCCGAAATTCGCGAAAAAATTATCCTCGATGGACCAAGATTTCTTAAGAATTTACGTGCAAAAATAACTTGGCGGTAGGCCATGGTTCTCTTGGAATTGAAATTTACTGTTCCGGTTTTGATATAAAAACAAGTATGCTTTTCTAACGTTTGCTATAAAAATCATATATGAATATATGTTCACTTTTCTATTTTTGTCAAAATAAGACTAATTTAAAATTCCAAAAATCTGTTAATTTGGTATTAAAAGGGAACTAGTCCCCACAACCGCGTAAAAATGATCCTCGATGCACAGCGATTTCTTAAGAACTCTCATAGCCATGGATGACCATGTGTATTTTTATTATGGGTAATAGTCTAGAAGAGCGGCCTGAGCACCAAAAACCGCGAAAAAATTACCCTCGATGGACCGCGATTTCTTAGGAATTTACGTGCAGAAGATTATTTGAGGAAATGCATGGTTCTCTTGTAATTGCATTTCAAAGTTGCGTGTATTGCTATAAAAACAAAGTAGAATTTTGAGGTGTTTTGTGTCATTTTGCTATAAAAACAATGTAGCATTTTCTAGGAATTTATGGGTTTGCTATAAAAAACAAGTAGGCTTTTGTTGCTTAATCAGAAATTGCACTTTTGATTTTTGTTTACTATGGATTCCTGCAACGGGTGCACTATTTCTTATAAGGACTTTCTTGCCATGGACGAAGAAGAAGTGTTTGCATTTCTGCAGAGACATGGAGTTGTTCTAAAGAGCAAGGACTGTCCCAACTGCAGTAAGCCCGCAATATTGTCTTTCAATGCGAAGAGACCGTCATTTGGAGGTGCCGCAGGATTGTAAGTAATCATCAACAGAAACGGAAATTAAGAAAAGTTCAATGCTCCTTTAAGGTAACAATTGTTTAATTTAAAAAAAATATTGCTTTAAATTATATTTGTAAGGAATCCGCCATTAAACGGACATTCTTCAGCAAGTCCCACGTTGGCATTAAACAGGCCTGTAATTTTGTGGCTTGGGAGATGAAGGGTTCAACAATCTCATTCCTTCGGGAAGAACTAGGCTGGTCCCAACAGACGGTGGTTGACTGGAGTAATTTTCTTCGGGAAATTTATCTTAGCTGGACGAAGAAGAACGCAAAACAAATAATAGGTGGAGACGGTTGGCCGGCGCAAGTATAATTGTGGTCGCGTGGTGGATGGCCAGTGGGTTTTCGGAGGAATTTGCAGAGAAACCGGTGACTTTTTTTTGGTGCCTGTGGAGGACCGTAGCCAGGAAAAGCTCCTTCCAATTATAGAGGCCAACATCGCCAATGGAACCAGAATTATATCCGACTGCTGGAAGTCATACAATGGTTTAAAGGATGCGAACTACTCTCACATGACCGTTAATCACTCAGTAAACTTCGTCGACCCTGAAACGGGAGCCAATACACAGAGAATAGAGAGACTATGGCGTGATCTAAAGGAGAACATTCCCCACTATGGCCGGAAAACGGAGCACTACCAAGGGTACCTAGCGCGATTCACTTTTTTGAAAAGGCACCCAAACCCAGTGTTGGGACATACCTAGATACTTTTACCTAGGTACGTACCTAGGTACAATTTAGTGGTACCTTTTACCTTACCTAGGTATAAAAATAATTGAGTACCTTTTACCTTACCTAGATACAGATTTGTATATACCTTTGGAATTATTAAGGTACTTACATAGGTATTAAACATTGATCTGATTTAAAATAGCCAAATCTGACTGCGACACTGTAGTATCGTTTCATTGTATCGTTTCGTTTCGAAATTGTAATAGTCGGAACGCAGCATTAAAAGTCATTGGAATTCAGCCGTTCTATTGTTTGTTTTGTGAAGTTAAAACTAATCGCAGTTTTATTTTATATAATTTTGTGCACGTATGTATGTTTCCATCACTACATCAATTTATTTATGAAACCAAAGTATATTTGGCGCGCAAAAATGGCGTATGTAAGTAAACAAACGGCATATACATATGCACAATATATAGTCAATGTTTCTACATACGGAATTTTTGCGCGCCAAATATGTACATGAGGGTTTCATAAATACATTAATGAAGTGATACGTGCATACAATTATTCATGCCGCGTGTTTTAAAAATATATGCACAAAATTAAAACATTTAAATTTAAATGAAATGTAAAGATATTGTTTGATTAAGACGACTAATAACTGAAAACTAGTCTTATTTTAAGTTTAAATGATTACATTGAACAAAACAAAAAAATTATAAAAATAAAAAATACCTTATAAATACCTTTTACCTTTACCTAGGTACTGGGAAATTTAAGTACCTTTACCTTACCTAGGTATTTATTTTTGCCCAATACCTTTTACCTTACCTAGGTAAAAAAACACAGTACCTTTCCCAACACTGCCCAAACCACACCTCAAGATTCCATGCAATTTTCTCAGCAATGGGCCAATTGTTTAATCCTGAACGCGATGTTAGTATTTAAAAAGAGATTTTTTTTTTAATTTTTTTGCCTCCGACGCTTTTTTAGCATTTTCCATCTCATTTTAAATACTAACAATTAACTATATTAAATTTCAGGAAACCACCGATACGGACTATGAAAAGGAATAGGCTTAATCTGTACCACTAACCAGCATTTTTATAAATAAATATTTACTGTCCAATCATTAACCATAGTTTAATATAGCATTTTATTTACTATTACAAATGAGTTACAAGTATAAGGAGGTACTGAACTAAAAATTCTCGTAATTGGCTTTGATAAAGACTAAGGTTGATCCTCCTCGGATTGCGATTTCTTAAGATTCATCTTAAAAATGTATATGTTGGTCATCCATGGTCGCACAAGCTCTTAAGGAATCACGGTCCATCGATGATATTAATTCGCGATTGTGGGGTCTGGCCTGCTATAAAAACAATTTCACATTTTTGTCGAATTTTTTCGAACGCTTATTATTTTGACAACAAACGGAAAGCCCATATGTTTTTTATAGCAAAATGACACAAAACACCTCAAAATCCTAGAAAATCCTACTTTGTTTTTATAGCAAAACACGCAACTTTGAAATGCAATTACAAGAGAACAATGCATTTCCGCAAATAATCTTCTGCACGTAAATTCCTAAGAAATCGCGGTCCATCGAGGGTAATTTTTTCGCGGTTTTTGGTGCTCAGGCCGCTCTTCTAGACTATTACCGATATTCTTAAATATGTCGATAAAGCTACATAAACAAAATTTTAAACTGCTAAAAAAGTTTTAACCTGTTTAAAAGCTCTAATTTTTACTGCAGCTAAAGAGATTCGCTTCTTATTAAGTGGATTTGGGTATTAATTACGACATAAGAAAGATTTGCCAAAAGTAGTCAGTAGAAACAGAAACGGAAATAACTCTGAAAAAAGGGATTTTCTTTGAGCGTAACATCTTTTAAGCAAAAACCCTTTGAATGTGTTAGGTCACTCCCAGTTTTCATAGGGTTTGTAAATTACAGGTTTTTTTTCCAACACTTTGAAAAGGTTGACCGAACCTTGCAAGCTTTGGCTGAAACAAACAAGTTATGCATCCTCAAGACCGTCTCATATTCACTTTCAAAAAGGGATATAATCTCATTCATTTGAAAGCAAATTACATATATTTACTAAGGGCCGGTTTCTCGAGTGCCGGCTAACATTTCTCGAACAGATAAAGTCCTTGCTAAGGCATTTTGGCTTTCTCGAGCATAAATGTAAGAGCTAACTTTGACAGGGACTCGGAGTCCCTGTTAAGCGTTTTCGGCTCGATAGAATGACAGCTGATTTCCCAAAGCCAACTAAGAATAAGAAACGAAATCACAGCTGACTTTTCCCTTGAATTATACCCTAACAGCTGATAAAATAATCGAAGCACGCCATTTTTTTGGGCTTTACAGCACAATTCTGTGCGTTAACAGCACTCTGTTATTGTTTCTCGTTCAGATAAATTAAAGCAGTCGAGAAAGCCGATTTGCTTTTACGAACAGTTTATCTGGTCATTAAGTTTTTCGGGCAGATAGCTATCAGGGACTTTGACAGGGACTCGAGAAACCGGCCCTTAGTGAGAAAAGCTAAATGCTGTATTCCGTGCGGACAGTATATAACATTTTTTTTAATACCGAAAATATACTACATTATGTACATCAGTGTGGCTACGGCATAAGATGCGAAATTGTTGGGTGTTTGCGGTGTTTCTGTTGAAACAGCTTATTATTACTCTTTATATAAATCAAATGGTATTTGACAGCCCAATACTGGCATGTCGTACTAAAGATTAGGTGTTCTGGCTAAATTTAAAGACCATTAGGACACTATGAATATTGCTTTAAAGTTGGGTTCCTCAATCGGTTGTATAAGCCGTCGGAATCTGGCACGTAATATAATTCAAAGAGAAAGTCATGTGTAAGTGTTATTCCTCCAAGCAAACTAAAATTTCATTATGAGCTTACATAAGATTTTCAGTGTTTCTTACCGTAATGCCCCCCCGCCGCATTCGAAGGCAACCAAAATTGGAGCTGTAACTGTTGGCGGAGCTATGTGGTGGTGGGTAATTTGGCACTTGTGGCATGAACCTGACCATATAACGGTATGACCTTAATTTTCATATCGCTCATTTACACAGTTTCTCGTGCATAAATATAGTCAAAAGCACGATCTGTGAAATGTTTATTTGTAAAAGTTTGATCGCTTTGCTTACAAACTGCATTTAAAAACATGAAACGTGGTACAATCATATTTTACTCTTCTAGTAAATGAGCGATATGTACCCATATGTACGTTATATTAAAAACATATTTTGCAGGGGGAGTTTGATTACCCTAACCCAAAGCAATGGAGCAACTCTGAGTTGGGTATTCCTAAAGATGATTCTTAAGTTTGATATTCAAGGTTATCCCATAAACATTGAATAAAATACGATATTTAGCCATGGACTGCTAATGTGTTGCGCTGCATATTTTTCCTGTATGGTTAGGTTCGCCATGGTTACAATTCGATTCCATGGATTCACGATCTCTGCCCTTTCGCTCAATTTCTCAGAAATCTTTTCTTTCTTCCAAATCCGACTGAAATCGAACCGTGATATAATACAAACTGCCAGTTCATTGGAAACAAGAAAGGAAGCTACCTTCGGCCAGCCGAAGCTTATACAGTGGCGGACAAAAGTCTACATACGACCCCCTTTTTGGGAGCTATAAACAAAAAACCTAAAAATGGCACTGACAAAACAACGATTTTTTACATAGAACTTTCGAAATTTTTGCTTCAAAATTTCCCAATCCTGGTCTATAATTCTTATGTTCCGGCTTAGTGGTGGTGAAAATAATTGACATGGAGCATAATTCAGCAGCCAATCCTTCACGATATGCGGCGTATGCCTAGGATCGTTATCCTGTTGGAAGGTCCAGCTCGTTTTGAGGCATAATTTGTACCCAGATGTTTTCCGTCTGTCCGTTTCTACGCAAACTAGTCTCAGTTTTAAAGCTATCGGGATGAAACTTTCGTAAAAGTCTTCTTTCTATTGCAGGTAGTATATATGTCGAAACCGACCGGATCGGACAACTATATCTTATAGCTCCCATAGGAAGGATCAAAAAAAAAAACGGAAAAAAATTATAGCTCTGATGTTTTTTGAAATATTACCTTCTACTTTTGGGGATGTTATTTTTTAAATATTTCTGAATTTCGAATTAATTATTTAAAAAATCGGACTACTATATCATATAGCTGCCATAGGAACGATCGGATAATTAATGGAAAAGTAATAGGAAATAAATTCTAGCTTCTTTGGTTTTTATTGTATTATCTTCTACTCTAGGATATGACTCTTTTTAAATATTTCCGAATTTCAATTTTAATTTGATCAAAATCGGACGACTATATCATATAGCTGCCATAGGAACGATCGGAAAATTAATGAGAAATATTAGAAAATTGAACATTTTTGCGATTTGTTAATTAATAGGAATGATCTGCAAGGGTATATAAGCTTCGGCTGGCCGAAGCTAGCTTCCTTTCTTGTTTTTTAATAACATTTGGTAGGGATACGAGTAATATTTAATTCGATCGCGGTCGAGGATCCACCGCTATCTGGGTGAAGTTGACAGTCCAGTTATGAATGTGCTTGCTGACCCACAGGCACGGCCAATCTGGCCCTTCCAGCTAAGACAGAGGTTTAAGATAACATCAAGTTAATATGTACAATACAAATGTATAATACAAATTTGTAAATAATAATAACAAGAGAGAACACTATAGTCGGGTTGGTGTCCCGACTATCTAATACCCGTCACTCAGCTAAGGGGAGTGCAAGGGAGATGGATATATAACATTTTTTTGATTGCGCATAACTTTTTAATCAATGGTCCGATTTGAAAAATGTTCGATAGTTATGAATATCTAAACTATTATATAAGTCTACCCCTAAAAAACGGTCAGTTGAAAATTCCACCCAGAACGGATTGACATAAAAATCTAAAAAAATCACAGTAATTACTAAAAGAATTAGGAGCCGCGTAAGGGGTACTTTGTAGAACAAAAAACGACCCCAAAGTGCCCCAAAATTCGATTTGTTTTTTTTTTAATTCTTTATTTTGCCATTTCTCTGTTATAAATGTTGTCAGCATCCTTAACCAAGTCCCCAACATTTTCAAATTTGGCTAACCTGACGTCACGTCACGCGTCCCCATATGTTTGTATGTATGTTCTGCTGGCGCATGTATGTATGTACATATGTATGTCCTGCTGTCGCAATTTAAGTGTGACCGCGCACGGGGAAAATTAAAATACCACAGCCAAAAAAAATCGATTATATCGCAAATCTTAAGTAAACGTTAAATTTTAAAATATCGGTAGACCTTACAGAGATCCCATTAAGCTGAATTTTACAGTCGAAATTTTCCTTAAAATTGCTTTTGTTTTTTAAAATGCAAAAGCCCGATAAGCAAACTATTTTTTAGTTTTAAAATGTTGAGTTATCGACAAACTTTGGATTTGTATAAAACAAAAACAAACAATGATTTGCTCTGCTATGTACACACACGCACAAAATAAATATATCCAAAAAATGCGTATTTTACACACACAGCCATTAGATACATATATGCGTGCGTACGTTTGTGTGTGTGCATTGCAGCTGACTAAGGAATTGAGATTCGATCAAATTCAAATTCAAGACAATACCGATATTCTTTTGCTTAAAGAATATTTCATTTACATTTCCACAACATACTTACATAAGACATTTTGTAACCGATTTTTGTGAACTAAAATTCAAATCGCATTGATAATATTAAAAGAACATTAAATATTCAAACCAATTGATTCTCTTGCTCTTTATTACTCGTGCCTCATATTGTTTAAACAAATTCAAATGTTTAAACAATTTGATTCACGGCTTCCCCGCCCACCTGCCTTCCTTATTATTAATATAATTTTAATCAAGGTGAAAAATTAATGTGAAAACAAAAATACTGAAACAAAATATCAATGGTAAAACGCAGTAATTTGGAATTGCCTTTCTTGATGTCTTTTCTTAAATTAGTCAAATACATAAAGCAAAACATTGCTCCGCATATTTGTTTCCCTTATAATAGTTGTCTACTGTTGATACCTTCCAAAAACCCCCCGGTAGCAAATTCGCCAAGAGTATTTGGTTTGTAATAGTTTAAATAAATAGTTTAAAAATTGCACCTTTAAAAAACAAAAAATAGAAATAGAAAATGTAGAACGAGGTAGCAAGGCCAATATCAACAGGATTTGTTTTAAGGGACCGATGAAATAAAAATAAGCCTAAAATTATCCTATCTCTGGCATTCATTTTTTTAAAATAAGAATTGGAGACATTAATTTTTTTTAACTGTCGAAGGATAAACATCCCATTACATTTTGAAGCGGTTGTAACATTTCAAGGCGAACTTAAATTAAATAAATATTCCCTCAAATTTTTTTAATCTTAATCAAAATTATTATATTGGTTGTTGGAGAGCTATGTAAAACTTTTAGCAATTTTTTTTAAGATTACAAGTTTTTTTCCAGAGTTAAACGCTAATCGATTTGGAATTGAATTACAAACTTAACGCGGCGTGATAATCCATATTTTGACAGTTTTTTGCTTTGTTTTCGATAAAGTACTGCTTTGAAATTCATATTTTTGCACTCTTAATTCATACAAAAAAATGCATAAATTTATCTGGGTAAGAGCGAGACAGCAATAGTCAAAACTCTCCGAAATTGAAAAAGAGTTTAATATTTTTAACATGTAAATTTAATCAAATTCGTACCCTATCTATTTTTTTCTCAAAGAATTTTTTTTTCAAATAATGTTTCTAGGCTTTAATGGCAATGAATTGGGATTTTAATTACATGCTCAACGCAGTATGACATTCTATATTTAAATAATATGTTTTGGACAAAATACTAATGTTTTGAATGAAATTAGTGTATGGATTTGTGTCGAAAAAGGAATCTGTTTGTTTCTGTTTTGTCCATTTGCGTACTTATGCAAACAATCCATAATAATTTTAAAAAGATTTAAAAAAGCACATGTTTTTTTAAGTAGTTTTCAAAGGACAAAATATTTTTGTTTTTACGGATATCAAGGGAAAAAGTTCTGATAAAATCTTTTCTCGGTTTATAGAATAAAAATTAGGAATTTTTTAAATTTAAAATAAGTACCAAAGATAAAGCAATGCTTAATTTTCAATTTTAATTTCCGCAGGCGAAGCTGCGGGCTACAGACCCTGCTAGTACACAATAAAATCTTTAAAGGTGTGGGCGCCAGACAGGGAAAGAAGTAAATGTGCACTTTTTAGTTGACTTATATTTCCTCTTAATTTAACGGTATAGTTTTTGTAGGTATGTAAGTTTGTGTTCTTATTAATTGTGAAGATTGTCTACTTGAATGATCCTTTTTGGAAAAAGAGAAAATATAATTTAGACGGCCCTGACTCATGTCAAATGTATTGGCGCGAGAAATGTCAACCATAATGCCATAAACGAAACAACGGTGGAAGATCATTGATGATTTGGGCAGGATTTGGGTATGCTTTGTTTTTTTATTATTATTATTATTATTATTATTATTATTATTATTATTATTATTATTATTATTATTATTATTATTATTATTATTATTATTATTATTATTATTATTATTATTATTATTATTATTATTATTATTATTATTATTATTATTATTATTATTATTATTATTATTATTATTATTATTATTATTATTATTATTATTATTATTATTATTATTATTATTATTATTATTATTATTATTATTATTATTATTATTATTATTATTATTATTATTATTATTATTATTATTATTATTATTATTATTATTATTATTATTATTATTATTATTATTATTATTATTATTATTATTATTATTATTATTATTATTATTATTATTATTATTATTATTATTATTATTATTATTATTATTATTATTATTATTATTATTATTATTATTATTATTATTATTATTATTATTATTATTATTATTATTATTATTATTATTATTATTATTATTATTATTATTATTATTATTATTATTATTATTATTATTATTATTATTATTATTATTATTATTATTATTATTATTATTATTACATGGCGAAGCCCAGCATGATCCATGCATAACTGCTTCAAGTATCTCACCGCCTCCACGTGGCGGTCCCGGTAACTGGTATTTCTGTCAACCGACAGAGTACTTGCTAAGGTGAGAAGGCGGTTTTTAAATCCCGTTCGCGTCTGTTCCCGAGGAGGGCGGCGTTTGGGTTAGCGTCTGTCCCAGATTGGGCGGCTATTGTCACAATTGTCTTTTTTCAGATCGGCAGACACTAAAGAAGGTCTCCCGCTGATGACAACGGCATTCCAACACCTCAGTACCCAGATTGAAACCCTAGCTAAATGGCTGCTGGGC